TCTTCCTCAGCAGCTGGTCCTTTAACAAAAGCCTGCTTCCATTATGGAAGAAAGTTCAAGAGTCAGTCAGTCAGTCAGTCAGAAAAGCTTCCATTATGGAAGAAAGTTCAAGAGTCTGGGATTGGCTGCCAAGAAGGCCGCCATATTTAAAGCTTAACGACTGCAAGGCATAATGGTGGTCTTTTCGTTTCGTTTAGTCGTTTAGTCGTGTCCGACTCTTCGTGACCCCATGGACCAGAGCATGCCAGGCCCTCCTATCTTCTACTGCCTCCCGGAGTTGTGTCAAATTCATGTTGGTTGCTTCGCAGACACTGTCCAGCCATCTCATCCTCTGTCGTCCCCTTCTCCTCTTGCCATCACACTTTCCCAACATCAGGGTCTTTTCCAGGGAGTCTTTTCTTCTCATTAGATGGCCAAAGTACTGGAGCCTCAGCTTCAGGATCTGTCCTTCCAGTGAGCACTCAGGGTTGATTTCCTTTAGAATTGATAGGTTTGTTCTCCTTGCAGTCCAGGGGATTCTCAAGAGTCTCCTCCAGCACCACAATTCAAAGGCATCAGTTCTTCGGCGGTCTGCTTTCTTTATGGTCCAGCTCTCACTTCCATACATCACGACAGGAAAAACCATAGCTTTGACTATTCGGACTTTTGTTGGCTGGCAGTTGACAGGGTAAGTTCCTTAATATTGCCACTTAGAAGATGCTGCATTTTCCTCATATCATCCCATCCGGAATGGGAGGAGAGAAAAGCGCACAGATGGGACAGGCGAATATCCTTGTACAGAGTACAATAAAATAGCATGTGCTGCAGGGATTCAACCACTCCCTGACCACACGGGCAGAGTCTCAGTTCTATTGGTAAACCCTTGTACCTGCCCTGCGCTATGCTCGATGGTACTATATTGCATCTAGCAAGGGTAAATGCCCATCGTTCTTGTGGCTGTTCTAAGTGATAAAAACGAACCATTTTTGGACCATTTGTGGAGAGTAGACATCGCACTAGGTCTGTTGGGAGATTATGATGGTCTGCATATAAGTTGAATAAGCTGGGGGACAATATACAGCCTTGTCGTACTCCTTTCCCAATTTTGAACCCATCATTTACTCCATATCCAGTTCTAACTGTTGCTTCCTGTCCCACATATAGGTTTCTCAGTAGATAGATAAGGTGGTCAGGCACTCCCATTTCTTTAAGAACTTGCCATACTTTGTTGTGGTCCACACAGTCAAAGGCTTTTGCATAGTCAATGAATGGTGGTCTTTTAGTTTTCTGATAACTATAATTTTTCTAAAAACCCAACCATTTTTGGACCATTTGTGGAGAGTAGACATCGCACTAGGTCTGTCGGGAGATTGTGATGGGAGAATATAAGAGGAACAGTTCTTAGCTCAATGTCCTGACTTTGAGCTACTTGTAGTCTTCTGTGGTGACGGTGTGTACGAGATGATCACATTGTGTGTTTTACCAGAGCTTAAAAATGCTGGTTTTTGGACTGGCCATGTTCTCTGGCAAATTCTGGGGCTTGTAGTCCAAAAAGTGACAAGATTTTTAAAAGCACATTGATAGTAGTAGGCTTTTCAACCTCACTCTCTGTCAAAGCTTTGTTGGCCCTGCCATTGGGCAGAGTGAGGCAGTTGTCTCATACAGCATGTTTTGAGCATCCCCAAAGAGCAGCAACCTAAAAGTTATTTTATTTCCTGTTTTCCCCCTTACCAGGAAAGGAGGAGACTTTGTGAGACTTAATGGAACACACACTTGGTAGCAAAAATTTGTATAAACACTTTTTACGTGCAGCAGTACCATTAATGCTTTATTTGCAAAAATAAAGTTGCTTAGTTGAGATAATACGTACCTTGGCATCATGGGGTAGAAACATTTGCTGCTCTGTCTCAGGCTGAAATAATACCTTCTACAGAGCCTGGTCTATATTATTTCAAGTGCTGTTTGAAAACTAAGTCAAAAACCTATTATATGTATTCTTTTAAAACAAAAGCTCTGGTAGTACATTGGAGTACACAGAATGCATTGCTTATATTGCTATGAGCTCATGCTTTAGTTTGAGAATTTGGAAAGAGAGAAGAAACAGAGGGAAGAAGGAAGTTAAAGAAATCTGTTTTAATTGTTGCCAAGGCATCCTACATTTGGAATACTAAAACATTATGTAAGTGTACATGGATATAGTCAAAAGATTCTAGGGCTCAGGTTAAAGGGGATGTGTAGTATAGTAGATGACTACCAGGGAAGAGTGACCCCCTCCAGATGGAAATGTCACAGTGGCAGAAGTTGGACAGATGGCCTGCTTTGCATTTAGTGAAGAAACTGGGGAGCATATATAAACGGAGAGCAGAAATGCCACTTTCTCCCTTTCTTAATTTAAAATACTTTTGTTTGTTTGTTTGCTTTGCTTTTTGCAACAGGAACCACAATACAAGGAGGAAAGCATCTTTGTATATCCGGCTTGCATATTGCTAGTCAGAAATATTGGCTCGGACCCAATAAAGCAACGTAGAAAAACAAATCATTTTTTTAAAAAAAACAAATTGATATAAATCATGCTTTAAATAAAAAACATCTATTTTTATTTAAATTGTCAAAGAAATCTGTTGTTTTTTTTTACAAAATTCAATCATGATTTCAATCAAATCCACTCTGTAGAAAAGATAGGAAACATATTGTTCCAAAGTCATATTGCTGATTTTTTCTGAAACTGAATTAGATTCCTTTGGATGAGAGAGGATACTGAAATACTGAAGATTTACAGTGTCCTATAACATCAGCCTTCTTTAAAAATGTGCAACTATTGCCTAGGGGAAGCAATAGGCAATACCTGTTGTAGCTTTTGCTAAAGTATGCCCCACCCCCATTACCATTCTCCTCTTACAACTTGTCCAAGCCGTTGCCAATGGGAGTTGCTATCCAATAGTTTTTGGAGCAGCATCTTTGATCTAAACCCATAGAGTAGGGGTTCTTCAATGATGCCGTTCTGAGCCCTGATAACTTTAATTTAGCAAGCTGAGTTGTGGCGGTCTATACCGAATCTTACTGGTTCACATAAGGTTGACATGAGAAGCTGCAGGTTTGTGTGTCCCACCTGTTCTCCAAAGAGTTTGCAGTGACGTACGTTGGAACAATCACCTTTTTATCTATAGAACAACTCTGTATGTAGACTGGTCTGGAAAGAAAGAACATCTGGTTCAAAGCTTCAAGGCTGGTTGGAGACGCTGAACTCTAGTGGAGCCACCTAAGCCATTCATAGCTGTGAGCATTTATACAACTAATGTTCAGCTTCATTTGATTTTAATAACCTCTCCTTCCTTATCTTTGTGTGCCAGCAAATTAAACATTTTCAAATAACTAATGATAGAGCAGTAACTATAGTGATTCTGGTCTGGTTCACAACAGACGTCAAATGCGATCTTGCAAGTGTGCTACATGAGAAAAATCTGATTTGTCAAAGAACCTATCAGTATTGTATCTTCCTGTTAATGTTATGGATACACAGTGTGGTTTAGTGGATAGCATGTTGGGTTAGGACACAGGAGTTGTGGGTTCGATTCCCCACTAAGCATGGAAGCTCACTGGGGCAGTGAAATTGATAAAACCACTTCTTAAACATCTCACTTATCTTGAGAGTCCTATTTGGGTTCCTTTAAGTGGATTCCAATTGACAGCAC